AATATAAAATTTTATGATAGGATAAATAATTAAAGTGTTAAACAAAAAAATATATTTATCTACTTAAATAAAATAATAATTAATTTAAAACAAACTCAAAATAAAAGACATAGGTACAAACACCTTTTCATTCAATATACTCTACAATACAATTATAAAAATTTAATACTTTTTGGTCCAGAATTAAAAATGAAAAACTTAAAGATTTAGTCATTTATATATAACATGGAAAAACTATTTAAACCAGCTGCATTTAAATTATATTTTAATAAGTGAATTGCCTAGGTGTTAGTGATGTGTCAAATTAGAGGGTATTTAAATTATTTTTTCAAAATAAAAAATATATATAATTATTTTGAGAATATTGAAAGAGGTGATTAAGGAAGAATAATAGAAAAGGAAGCATAAAAAAAAGAATATAACAAATAAATTATTAATATAAAAAAAGAAAGTGAGTACAAATATAGTTAAAAATAATAAATATAATAAATAAATATAATAAAAAATTAAGAGATAAGTTAAAAAATGGTATCATATGAAAAAATAATGAAAGGTAGCCTAATGGTGCATAAATAAAAAATACCAATGGAATAAGAAAAATGACTGATTTACTTTTTGATCTATCCACACCATGGCAAACGTCAATCAGTCATATAAAAATTAGGAAAAAAAAATTTTTAAATTACTAATTTCAATAAACTATCATTAAAAAATACTGAAAAAAACTTATCTTTAAGTTAATACCCCCAAGTTTCTAATTTTCCCTAGTTAGTCTTCCACTTATTCCTAATTAGTTTTCCGTATATTATTCCGAGTGCTTTCCTGACTAGTTATCCTCTTGCTTTCTTTCTCAACTAAAATGAGGAAACTTGGAAGACTGCATTATACCACGTTGTTGGTGATGTCTACACGTTTTACATTTTCTAGACAGGCGTTACTGCTTTCTTCAGTATTCAATGGAAAATGCAGAGCAGTCATTACTTTACCCCACTGGCCGTATTCCACACAAGGAATAGCCATTCCAAGAAAATGTGGTAGTCTTCCCCTTTATTTATTTTTTTGGGGGCTGAAGTTACTTTGCATTTCGTCAGGACAAGGGAATCGGCTGCTTATGGAAAATTAGTTATGTGAATGAAAGAAAACAGGCACCTAATTAAATAGAAGTAGTTGTTAGGATTTAGGGTTCGTTTTGGTTAATTGGAAATTAATTTTCAAATTTTTTTTTTATATTTTATTGTGTTTAGTTATCATTTTAAAAATAAGTCAAAAAAATTTATTGCCATCAACAAAAAAGGCATTTATAGATTTCTAGAAAATCACTTCTGACAACCAAACGGAAAATCACTACCTTCTCCCTAAATTGAAAATAAGAAAAAAATAATAATAATAATAAAGGAAAGTGCTTGACCTGGCAAGCAAGGAAAGGTGGGATATGCTGCTCATTTTCTTTTAAATTTGGGAATGGGATAGGAATGGCCATTACTTCCTTCTCCCCTAGATTTTTAATTATTCTTACTCATTCCGTAATTAAAAGAAAATGAGCAACATTTCCCACGTTTCCTTGCTTCTCAGTGTTGTGGATAAATTCTCATATCGAAGCTCTGATACCATTGTTGCAATTTAACTACCACTAAAGTCAATTGATGAAAAATATAATTATAAAATTATGTAAGCAGATTAAATAATTAAACAAAATAATATAAAGGACTAACACCAAATTTTTTGTTATTGTGAAGAAAGCCGTACATCCGCATGGATGCTTTCCACATGTAAAAGTTGTGGGTGCTTGTGGTGTGCACCTCAATTTTTTTCCATGTCAGCAGCACTGCATTATTGTCAATATTTATTGGCCGTGTCAGGTGAGCACATTGATCTTTTTTCTGGATTTCCTCAGTGGCTTTAACAAAATTTTCCAAGGGAGGGGAATTGATTAATTACCGGATCAAATTA